GCCGTAACAAGTTACTATAACCTTAGTGGCTTCAAACAACTCAAAGACTGTATCTTACAGTCTACACTTTGCAAGTTTGGTATGAGTCTCACAGGACTAAAAGCAAGGTGTTGGAAGCCTGTGTCCCTTTTTGGATAGCCTAGGGGGAAATCAATTCAGTCTCATGTGGTTATGGCACTTAGATCTCTGTCTCCTTGCTGGGGACTTCTCTTAGACCTCCACATCTCAGAAACCACTACAGGGTGTCAAAACTCGCTCACACTGTATCTCTCTTGCCTACTCTTCTGCTTTTCTCCTTTATTCCTAAGGACTCATCTAGAATAACCTCCCCACCTCAAGATCTTTAACCTTAATCCCATAAAGTCTCTTTTGCCGTGTTACCTTGGAATGTATTCATGGGCTCTGGGAATTAGGGGCTGGACATCTTTGGGGGACATTATTCTGCCTATCACAGTTGAGAAAACTGAGGCTCAGAAGATCAGCATGCCTTGTCCACGATCAATAAATAAAGTTTAAATCTGAATCCAGGAGTGAGATTTCTAACTTCAAGTTCCTTCCACTATGAAAAAAAAATGCATGCAGCTCAAGTATGAGTTTTGGTCAATCCTAAGGGTAGAATGATGTTTTGGGATGAATACAGTCTGTAAGATAAGGCACACATGGACTTAGAAGCTTATTCCTCCACGCACTAGCCACTTGACATTGAACAAATCAGTTTACACCTCTGAGCCACAATTTTCTCACCTATAAAATGAAAAGGATAGGACCCATGTAGCAGGGATTTAAGGAGCATTTAATAAGCTGTTTCTTGAGCACTTAGCAAAGGGTTTACATAAAAAAAAATTCACTGAAAGGGCCAATTTGAGTTCCTATATTGCACAGATGAGAAAACATGCCCAGAGAGGAGGAGCAATTGGACAAGGTCATACAGTGGGTTAGTGGCAAACCCCAAGCCAGATTACACAATGGCATGAGAATTTGGAGGGAGGGTAATTACAAGAATGAAATTCCACACCTGCTTTCTACAACATTCCACAACCAGCCTGGAGGCTGAGCCTCTTCATTCCCTTCTACCGGGGCATCCCACAGGAATTAGAGGCTGAAAGGCAGGCATGCTGGATTCATCTGATGTGACAACTTTGGTCTTCCTTGTCATTTTCAGTTTCCACATTCTTCTGTGAACCTCTGCCCTACAGCCCAATCGATGTCAGCTCACTTAGCGTTAAATGCTTCCTGCACACCGAGCCATTTTGCATGCGCTTAGTAAAAATGGAGCCATCCAGCATCAATTCACATGAAATAATTTTCCACTTCATGTCAACCGAAAATCACCAATTTCCTGCTACAAGTGACACTTAGTACTGGGAGGCGCTTGGAGTCGCTATGCGTTATCGTCGCCTAGGCTGCTTGCCTTTGTGTGACCAAATCCAGTATCTAGAGAGAATATGGATCAAAACTCTATTTTCATGTAATTAAATGTAAGGATTAAAATCTAGCCCATCTTCTTATCAAGCTGAAATTTTTTCACCACCTAAAGACAAAAAATAAATTGTCATTGCGTTTGTAACTCCAATGGGGCAGGTCAGAGCAGAACTGTTCAATCATTCGATGAGCGTATAGAGATCTCCTATGTTCTAGTCACTTGCAAACACAAAGATAAATAAAATAAAATCTCTACTCTTAGAAGAATCTTACTGTCCAGCAGGGATTGTTAAATATGTATATAGTCAACTACAATAAAAGGCATATTTAATCATATGCAGCTGTTAAAATATTACGTCTTACGTTGGGGGTCCCCTACCCCCAGGCCGCGGACCGGTACCGGTCCTGTTAGGAACCGGGCCGCACAGCAGGAGGTGAGTGGCGGGCAACTGAGCGAAGCTTCATCGGCGGCTCCCCATTGCTACCCATCCCTCGCATTACCTCCTGAACCATACCCCGCCCCCAGGCTCCCGTCGTCCGTGGAAAAATTGTCTTCCACAAAATCGGTCCCTGGTGCCAAAAAGGTTGGGGACCTCTGTCTTAAGCTAATGATGTTCAAATACTTTCAACTGTGAAAATCTTCATTTAAGTGCAATGCAGTAAATAAAACTGATAACAGGGGACCTGCAGTGGCTGAAGTGGGAACAAGAGACCTGGGGACCTAGCCATTAACACATTATAGTTTCTGATAGCTCTTCATAATATATTTAAAAGGATCTGTTTTTACAATATTTGTAATTGCTTTATTGAATGTACTGATCTGTAGATACAAGTAGAAAGTAATTCTTCTTATCATTACCTCTTTAACTTACACTACAGACTGATTTTTCTCATACTCTTGGTTTGTATCTAGGGGGATTCTGTAGTTTCTCTGGTCCTTCTCAGGTATTAATAAATAATCTTGTTTCCCAGCTCATTGTGGAACTAAAGCCAATCTCAGCCAATTAAAAATTTGTTCCCTTTCCCAAGCTTTGGTTCACAAAATTGGAAAATGCAGAGAAAAGTAAAGAGACTTGTCATCTTTCTGTTCCTCATTTCCCCATCACGTTCTTCTATTCCACTTCCCCCACTTATTACGACTCCTAAGACTTCTCCTGGAATGGAGAGCACTAGGGTGATGTGACAGAGCAAAGAGGCAAAGAATGTCTTACTTGGCCACCAGGGCTGCCATATACAGTTGTGTAGGTTGCGTACTGCACAAGGGTCCCCAGCCAATGGAACATGGAATGTAGCTCACTCTGCTTGGGAAGCTACACTTACCAAGTACTCTGGTGTGGAGCTGCATCCATCTAAGGGAAGGAAACATTTTTATAAATTATCATCTTGTTTTATCACCTGGTTCTGTGCTGCCTCCAAAAGGAGGGTATGTCTTTTATAAAATTTTCACACGGTATATAGGGATAGAGGCAACCTTGTTGACCAGTACAATTTAAAGCTGACATTGGACTAAAGGTGGCAGGTGTTCAAAGACTGGTTCTTTCCTTTGTGAGGTGCTTTGGGAGTTATTAGGCATTCTCCCACTCTAGGACCCTCCCGTTTGTTGATCTCTGATTCCAATGGCTGAATATTTCTGATCACACTTCAGTCCTGCAACCCAAACCTTCACCCCACACAGACCACCTCTGTTGGGTCTCCTCATGCTGCAGGAGGTCTTTGAATAAAGTCCCTTTCAGGACATCTGGAGGCTTATTCCCTTGCCTGCCCCAGGGACAGACAGCCCTTCCTCCACCTAGGAAGTGGGACTCCATAGACACCCCAGCCCCTGACCCAGTTGCCAAAGACTCCTCAGCAAGTCTCTCCCTGTTAGGCCCTTTCAGGAATTAATCAAATTCCTGTCTCCATATTCACCAAAGTCCAGGACATTTAAATGATGTTATGAAGTCTCCTCCATCTCAATCAATCCCCTAGCATCTCCTCTGTACCCACACCTGGAGGATAAACCAAGTGGCAAAGCCAGTTCCACAGCTCTTACCCTATCTGACATCAATAGGTGGTAACTGATAATCTGGGCCTTTGGAGCATCTGCTGAGACTTAAAGACATAAGGAAATGTCTTGGCACATAATGTTTAATGACATGAGTAAATTCTCAAGTAATAATAAATGGAAAGACAGATAAACATATAAACTTGAATGTATGTATATATGTGCATATTGTGTGTATATGTGTGTATCTATATACTTTATCTATTGATCCATCTATCATCTATATCTGTCCTTATAGAACCAGATGAGGTGGAGGAGTGGTGGATACTGTTGAGATCTCATTTAAAATATGACTTATGGGGAATTCCCTGGTGGTCCAATGGTTAGGACTCTGTGCTTTCACTGCTGAGGTCTCGGGTTCAACCCCTGGTCGGGGAACTAAGATCCCACAAGCCATGTGGTGCGGCCAAAAAAATATAAAATAAAATATCAATAAAATAAAATAATAAATGGCTTCATAGAGCTGTCAGTGGTAATTTAAAAAATAAAATAAAATAAAATAAAATATGATTTATGGGGCTTCCCTGGTGGCGCAGTGGTTGAGAGTCCGCCTGTTGATGCAGGGGACACGGGTTCGTGCCCCGGTCCGGGAAGATCCCACATGCTGCAGAGCGGCTGGGCCAGTGAGCCATGGCCGTTGAGCCTGCGCGTCCGGAACCTGTGCTCCGCAGCGGGAGAGGCCACAACGGTGAAAGGCCCGTGTACCGCAAAAGAAAAAAATATATATATATGATTTATGCAGCACCTGTGAATGTCACTTAGGGGCCCTGCCTACAACTCAAGGACATAGGATATAAATTCTAGGCGCAACCTGTATTAGTTTCCTTTTGCTGCTTTAACAAATTACCACCAACATAGTGACTTAAAACAGCACGGATTTATTATCTTAATGTTCTTGAGGTCAGAAATCTGAAAAAAGGGTCTTACAAGGCTAAAATCAAGGTGTCACTAGAGCTGATTCCTTCTGGAGGCTCTAGGAGGGAATCTGTTTTCTTGCCTACAATAGTTTCTAGAGTCTGTCTACATTCCTGGGCTCATGGTCCCATATCATCCAACGTCTGCTTCTGTCATCACGTGTTTTCTCTAACTTTGACACTCTTGCCTCCTTCTTATAAAGACTCATGATTTCATGGGACTCACCCAGGTAATCCAGGGTGGACTTCCCATCTCAGGATCCTTTTATTACTTCTGGTCCATTTTGCCATGTAAGGTAATGTGTTCATAGGTATTGGGGATTAAGACGTGGACATCTTCGATGGGTTTCTAGTATTCTGCCTACCACACTAGCCTTAACAGGATGCCATAGATAGAGAAAATGAAAAATGGTAACAAATATGACAGCTTTAAAGTATGAACTTGGGTGAGATACTTAAGCCCAGTCAGCCCTCAGTTTCTTCATCTATAAAGTAATAGTACCTGCCTCATGCAATTGTTACTAGTGTTAAATGAGTTACTATTTTCAAAATACTGAGGACAGGGCTGGCTCATGGAGAGTGCTACATAAGTGGTTTTTAAAAGTCACAATGGCGGGAATTCCCTGGTGGTCCAGTGGTTAGGACTTGGCGCTTTGACTGCCAAGGGCTCGGGTTCAATCCCTGGTCGGGGAAATAAGACCGCCAAAAAAAAAAAAAAACAGAGCTTAAAAAAAAAAGTCACAAGGGAGGACACTCTACATTACAAAGTAGACTAGGGATCCAGCTGCTTCTTATTTGGCCGACACTGTGTTACATATTCCAGGATTAATAGCAGCAGGGGCTTATTAACTTAATGGACGTTAATAAATCTCTGGAGTGAGTCTGATACAATAGAATATGCATTTACTATTTTTTTAAGAAAATAATCTAAAACATTAACAGTTCTCATGTGAGATTATGGGTGATTTTTATACTCTTCTTTATAGTTGATCTATGTTCTATATTTTTTCAATTAACTATATATCAGTTATATCAGAGGAAAAAAAATAATGCATGCAATTTAAACATTTATATATATAAAGAGATCAGAGGTTTTTTCCTGGGTTCCTGGACTTGATTTCTGATGTGTGGAGGACAGGGTTCCCTACACATTCAAGCAATGCTCCAATACCAGCTGGGTGTCCTATAATTCAATTAAATTCTGACACTGTCTACCTGGAGATGGCATCAGATTCACAGGTTGATGGCTCAGTCCCACAAGACTGCCCCACACTCCCTTCAGATGTCTGTTGCAAGCCCAGGTTATTCCTCACATTTCTGAGCAACTGGCTATAGGTTGTACATTCCCATGATGTTCTCCTTGGACGTCAAAGTCAGTTGCAAGTCCAGGCTGTTACTTGCACTTCTGACTGACTGGCTATAAACAGGAGGCTCCCAAGACCCCTCCTCGGGTTCTATTAATTTGCTAGTGTGCCTCACAGAATTCAGAGAAACATTTCACTTACTGGATTACCAGTTTATTATAAAAGAATATAACTCAAGAATAGCCAGACGGAAGTGATGCATAGGGCAAGGGCACAAGCTTCCCTGCGCTCTCAGAGTACGCCTCCGTCCCCAAATCTCCACTTGTTCACCAACCTCGGAACCCAGTCTACTGGAAGCCCTTGGTACCCAGTCCACTGGATTTTTATGGAGGCTTCAATACAGAGGCATGATTGATTAAATCATTTGCCACTGGCAATTAAGCACAATCTCTAACCCCTCTCTCTTCCCAGGAAGTCAGGGAATGGGATAGAAAGTTCCAACCCTCTTATCTCCTGGCCAGTTCTCAGGGCAGTCAGCCCCACCCTTAGGTGTGGTCAGAAGTCACCTTATTAACATAACAAAATATACCTTGATCACTCCGATCTATTAGGAAATTCCAAGGGTTCTAGGAACTCTGTGCCAGAAAGTAGGGGGCGGGGATGAAGACCAAGTATATATTTCTTATTATAAATCACAATATCATTAGTCATTGGAGAAAAACAGAAAAATAAAAGTGTCTACATGCTATTCAAGCCATGTAAACAAAACCAAGACAATAATCCTTAACGGACCTCTATCGACCATTGGATACAATCTAGACACACAGATCTAGCGTTTAAGACTTTTTAGAAACCAGCTCAAATCACCCTGCACACTGTAATTTTTCCCATTCCCTTGTTGCTGTGAATCAATCTAGCAAAGCCCTATTTAGAAGCTGTGATGTGAAGCTCTACATTGTGTTCTGGGTCTGCAACCACTACAGCAAACCCTTTCTATGCTCAAGTAATTAATAATCTAAAAGAAGGGGTAGAGTTCTATACAACAAAAGACAAAAAAAATGGTCTCAATGGCATCTTTGTTATTGTTATCATCAAATGCTATGAGACATGATTGATCCTAATAGGGCTAGGGCTGGCTTCTGGGATATGCAACCTGGGCAGTGAGCACCCTGGCTTAGGAGGGCCCATGCTTAGTGCAGAGCTAAGTGCAGAGCTAAGAATTTCAAGCTGCAGTTGGCTTGAAATTCTTTTTTTGTTTGTTTTGTTTTTTTTGTGGTACACGGGCCTCTCACTGTTGTGGCCTCTCCCGTTGCGGAGCACAGGCTCCGGACGTGCAGGCTCAGCAGCCATGGCTCACGGGCCCAGCCGCTCCGCGGCATGTGGGATCCTCCCGGACCGGGGCACGAACCCGTGTCCCCTGCATCGTCAGGCGGACTCTAAACCACTGCCCCACCAGGGAAGCCCGAAATTCTTAACCATTTCTGAACAAGGAGCCATGCATTTTCATTTTGCACTGGGTGGGCCCCACAAATTATGTAAACAGTCCTGAAAACGGGTCTGAGGGTGGAGGGCAATTGGACGTGGAGGCTCCAAGTACATCGTCATTGAGAAACACCAATCAAGTGGCCAAATCCACAGGGTTTACTTTGCCTCTCCTACGCTTTGGACACCACGCTAAGAACTACATGTACGTATATGTATATACACACATCCACTTTCTCTATCAGTATATATGCACACACACTTAAAATTTTACCAGTTCATAGATAGCTACTTGCTTCTTCTCCACCAACCATCTACCTTACCATTTATCTCTCCATAGGTGCAACAGGAAAAGATTTTCTACGAATTTAACTTCCTTTGCCTTCTCACTCTCCCTCCTTCCCTTCCTTGATCCCTTCCTCCTTTTCTTCCTTCTTCCTTTTTGTTGATTAATGAGGTTCTATGACTCTTAAGTCCTTATGTCAACTTCAGTGGGCCTCACTTGGGCTGCTTATTTCAAATGAAGATTTTTATACTTCAGTCCTAGAAATCCTGATCAGTAAGCCTGAATTGGGGCTGCAGGAACCTACACTGAAAACACACACACGCAAACACACACACACACACACACACACACACACACACACACACACACACCCCAGGTGATTCCCGTGCCTACCAGAACGTTGAGGAACATTGCTCAAGTGTGATCCAATCCCCTCACCTAATGGTTCTCAGAAACTGAAACCGAGAAAGTAACCCCCCTAAAAGTCAAATGTTGATTTGCTAACAATTTTGAAGAAGGAAGGTCCATACCTGACCATCTAATTTGTACTTCAGAGCCCTTAAAAGCATAAGTTCTTGAAATCATGGAAATGCAAGTCTCCAAAAACGCTTGGGTGATCCCTAGGGGAATGCAGTGTTTGAGTCAAGTCACACCTTTTCATCTTCTTTTCCCACAGTGAAAATCAGACTGAAAAGAACACATGGGGGCATGCTGGAAGTGGGGAGAGATCAGAAAAGAGAAACTTGCAGCCCTGCCCCGGTGTGGAGACGAGAAGGCCTGGCTTCCCAGGGTCCAAGCTTCTTGCGCTGGGCGGTGCTCCACGTGCCAGTCAGGATGTTTTTTTTTTTAAATACAAACCTCCCTGGACACCCTTAGCCCTGACACAGCACCTTCCACGTGGAGTGTGGCGTGATGGGGACACATGAACACTGAGATTGGATGGTCTAGAATTCACCTCCTGTCTCTGGCACACCACCTTCAAGCTGTGTAACCTGCAGCAAATCATTTCAGCTCTCCGTGCCTTGGTTTCAAGATTTATCAAAATGACAGAATGGTAATGAACACACAGGGCTTGTGGTTGAGAGACTGTATAATACTAACACATTAAGAGAACAGGCTGTGAAGCTGGAAACCTAAGTTCAAATACTGGCTCCTCTTCTTAATAGCTGTGACCTTGAGGAGGTTACTTCGCTCTCTGGGACAGATAAGGATTATGATCACACGTTCCTTGTGGGTGATGGCTCAGATGAAATGAAACAATGTATCGAATGCTGTTGACTAAGCACCTAGCAAGGACTCAATGAATGTAAGTTGTATGAAGCATGGTAGATGCTTGATAAAGCAATGGGAAATCAAATGAATGGGAAAAAGGAGAATTTGAGGCAAAGTGGAGTTAACACAAAGCAATGTGTCTTTTCTCCTCTCCAAGAACGCTCTCTGAACCCAGTGAATTTCCACTGATGGGGGAGAAGCTGGGATGGCAGACCAGATTAGGGTAATTGCCTTCCTTGGAAGCTGAAAAGTAACAGTAGTTTGCCTCCGGCACCTCTATTACTGCAACTTCAATTCAATCCCCACATCCCACTGAAATAGTGAATGAAATTTAAAAGCTGCAGAAGAAGAGAAGGGAGAATTGCGGAGTGAAGCCAAAGTGCTTCAGGCTTCATTTGGATCCTGTCCTGCCATCTCCCCACCCTGTCTCTGGCCCAGGCCTCCGCAAGCTTCCTCTCCGTCTGTCCTTTTTCGGGGGAAAAAGTCTTTGTCCCTGCAGTTGGCCGTGAGAAGTTCTTCTTTTCTTTTCCTTATGGGCAAGTGCACGGGAAGGGTGAGCACGCTGAGGCATTGAGGGGGAGAGCCCAGAGGAATAAGAGAGCAGGGCTTTGGTCTCGGACTGAAAACACAAATAATACAGCTCTTGGTCAAGGTTCTCATCAAGTCACTGTAGCTGCTTCTTTACTTCCTTGTGTTTTCACCAGGCAGGGGGGTGTCCAGGCCCCAATGTCAAGGCCTTGAGCAGTCAGATTTGGTATAAAGCCAGGCCATCCACAGCTGCACAGTTTATCTGTTTCAGCATTTGTAACACGGGATAAGATGGGTACAACACGTGGCACCATACGCTCAGTAAAATGCCCTTTTCTCGCTCTCGTGCTCATTCTTCTTCTTCTCTTCCACTACCTCTTTCTTCTTGTCCTTTTTCGTCCTTATGCTTTTCCTGCTCTTTCACTCTCTGTGTCTGCTAGCCAAAGTCAGGGGCCATGTTTTACTCAACTCTGCCTCCCCTGAGACCTTGTACACAGCAGATGCTCCATGGATCCTTGTATAATGGAGAAAGAAAGAAACTCTCCACTGCCCTTTCTCTGCATATTAGAAAGCACTATCATATCTGTGTTCTTGCCAATGAGTATTAGCTAGTAAAATGCAAAATTTCTAAGTAAAGAATTAGAGAAACATAAAAACCTAGAACAACCCATGCACTGGCTTTGGCTCCAACTCTGACTTTACATAAAAGACACTGGAGACTCAGAGTAGAGTAGGGATTTATTTACAGCCCTTGTGGGGGGCAGGGGCAGAGTGATCTGTTTTTCTCCTCATCCATTTCAATTTCTCTATACCACGACATC